AGCGCCTCTTGAGCAAACTGGGGAAGAAGGGCACAGGGTAGTGGGTAGGGGAGCAGGGAAACCACAGCCACGGGGACAGGGCAGGACACTGACTGACACCCATCTCACTTCCATCAGCAGAAAACACACAGGAGATTTTCTCTCCCCCTTCTCTGAATGTTGGTCTGGTGGAAAGTGTCCCTGTCCATGGCAGGGCATTTGGAATGAGGAGATCTTTAAGGTCCCTTCCAACTCAAACCATTCCATGATGACTTCTAGTTCTGTTTTGCTTTAAGCAACTCTTTCTGCCATGCAAAAGGTAGGCAGGCAGCATAATGTGGCAGTGAGAGAGAGCCCAGAGACAACTGTGTGGGACACGGACATTCTACAGGTGACACAGAAATTACTCTGACCTACACAAGTGTCTGAATCAAAGGAGTTCTGGTGTTTGGGAAGCATCACAGTAATGGATCCCATCCCTGAATGTACAGAGAGGAGCACACAGCACCATTTCTGACCTGGCTGCTCCCTCTGCCACATAGTGCTGGGCTGAGGCACCACGAGGACCTCACCTGCCTGAGATGGCTGTGACCACACCCAGCATTTGGGCCCAGTACTCTGCCTGGCCAGTTCTGCATCTCTGGGTGGCAGTGGCTTTGCTCTCTCTTGTGCTCAGCATCTGGTGTGGCCACAGCTCATTCCCAGAGCCCAGGAAGGGGCTGGAGCTGCCACCAGCTCTTTGGGAACAGCCCAGAGAAGGAGACCAACCTCCCTTACCACTCCTCCACTCCCCGTTGAGCTGACCTGGACAGCATTGACTTTGATCAGGAATTCCACTGTCTGCATGAATATTGTGCAGGGAGGCTGGTGAGGTCCTGATCCAGGGGATGATGCTGCAAGAAAATGTCTCTGTCAGTCAGTCCCAGAGAGTCCATCCTGAAAGATACTGCTCTGAAAATTGGGATCCACCTGCTTGGCCCAGAGATTCCCTGGCTAGGGAGAGAGATTAGGCCTTGGCATTGTGGTGGCCACTGCTGATTGCTCCCACAGCACTCCCCATTGATCCCACAAGGCCATCACCCAGCTCTGGGCTCTCCACAGTCCTCGTTCCCTAAACTTCTGGGGCTGCCTTTGGTGCTGTAGCCTCTTTCTGGGGTGTCATGCAGGACAGGACAGGCTCCACCACCTCTGGCATTTTGTCAGCTGGGTCATCTAGAACCTTCTCTGGAATGAAACCCCAACAAACACTAGGTGGAAAGAGTTTGCCACAAACTGCCCAGTTTGAAGCATGATTCCACAAGAAATGGGGAAGAGAGAAAATAGAAAAGATCTATCAGATTTCCAGAGCTGGGAGGAAATGTCTTTGCAGGAGGTTGGGTTTTGAGCACAAGATTACCATGTGAAGCCAGGAGCAGGTCTGAATGAGGCAGGATGAGAGGAAATGGCTTCAAGTTGTGCCAGAGAAGGTTTACATTGGATACTAGGAAAAATTTCTTCATGGAAAGGGTGTTCAGGCACTGGCACAGCTGCCCAGGGCAGGGCTGGACTCACCATCCCTGTAAGTGTTCAAAAGCCACAGGGATGTGGCACTTGGGCACATGGTGGTGCTGGGTTAACAGCTGGGCTTGATGACTTGGAGGTCTTTTCCAACCTCAGTGATTCCGTGGCTCTATGAATATCCCTTCCCTCATAACCAGAAGGGACACAGAGAGGCATGTGACACGAGCCTGCCCAAGGCACTGAGCACAGAGTGGTGATAACGTTAAAAATAAAGACAGCCAGCATTTCCTGCAGCCTGGCCAAGTGTCTGGGGCTCAGGATCCAAAAGAAGCCTTGGATTCAGGGTCACTGCTGAGCAGCTGATTTGCCCTTTGAATTGATGAGGCAGAGCTTTCTGAGCTGTGTTGGGAACTCACAGCAGCAGCTTCCATGGAATTCTATTCTAGCTCACAGTCCACATCTTCTTCCTTTAGCCTTTATGTTTCTCCTCAGAGATTCTCCTCTCCTTCCACTGTTCAACACCTCCCACACAGCTCTGAGCCCCTCCTTGCTGGTGCCAGGGCACCTCCTGGGTTTACCTGGCAAGCATTGCCCTGGGGCTGGGCTGGGAGAAACGTGCTTTTCCCCCTCTCCTCCCTCAGCAGCCTTAGAGATGCTCCGCTCCTTGTCAAGCTGAGCTCGCAGGATCTTCTTCGCCTCACGGAAGTTCCTTTCTGCCTGAATATTATTATCCTGCAGCTCATAAAACAAACCTGTGTGAGATACAAACAGCAGCATAAGCAGACAACGAAGCCTTAGCAAAACCCTTCCCTTAGCTCTGAGCATGGAAAGAGGACTGGGAGCAGCCTGGCTTGCTTCTGTACCTGAAAGGGTCCAGGCTATGATGCTGGATGGCTCCAAGCAACAGGCATCCTCGAAGAAAACCTCTGCCTCTTCATAGTGCTGCAGCAGGACAGCTGTGACCCCGCAGAGCAGCAGGCTGGGGACAGAGTCAGGCCAGTCAGCCCAGAGTGGTGTGGGGGACACCCCCCTCTCCCAAGCCCCCACTGGGAGCACACAGCACCTTTGGGTGTGCTGGGGGTCCAGACGAAGAGCCTCCTGGAAACACTCCTGGGCTTTGGTGGCTTCCTCGTGCAGGAGGCAGAAGGCTCCATAGTCCAGCCAGGACTGGATGTTGTGCTGGTCCTGAGCTATCCTCTAGACAAGAGGGATCACTGCTGGAGTGAGGACTGCTGGAGTCAGGCTCAGCACACAGGGGAGACAGCTCTGGAATCACCACAGCTTTCCCGGCCACCCCAGCCCAGTTTAGCAGGAATCAAGCCCTTGTCTACCACATGCAAGGGTGTCCCTTACCTGGGATTGTGCTGGAAGCACAGTTCATCTAAGCCTCCTTCACCTAACACATCTACTCCAGCTCCAGCTGAACCCCTCCCTAGTACTGACCCAGCAAGCCTATTGGACCAGTTCATCCCATTTCCCCTGGCCTCAAAGCTGGAGTCCTTGGTGATCTGGCCAGGGACAGGCCTACGTCATCCAGAAAGCAGCATCTCCCTGGAAAATCCCTCACATTCAGCCTGAGTACCCTGGTCACGTTCAGCTCCTTCCTCCCAATACCACAGCCAGGGCTGGCCGAGCTGTCAGCAACACAGGCCCCAACCACTGCCAGGGTGTGCTGGCTGCCAGCCACCAGACACATGGGTGGTGGGCAGGAAGGCTCTCCTTTACCTGCTGGTGGTAGAGAGTGGCCAGTTTGTAGTCCTTGTTGACTTCAGCTTCACGAGCAAAGAGCCAGAGCTGCTCCTGGGTTGTGCAGGATGGAGGGGCAGGAGAAGCATCTTCCTCGAACAGGAACTGTAGCAAATGACATCACAAGCTTACTTCTGTCTTGAAGGCAGAGGTCCTTCACCTGCCCTGGTTCCATGGTGCAGTGGTGGCCCAAGTGCCCCAGGTTTCTTCCTACCTGGTTCAGGGCAACATGCATCTGGTCCACGAGGTACACGTAGAGCTCGCTGAGGAATGCCTGGAGCTGCTGCTGGGATTCAAATGCTGTGGTCTTCAGGTATTTCTCCCTCACAATCTTCACCACAGAATACTGTGGAGACATATCACAGATATTCAGAGCTGGAAGGGACTCACGAGGATCACCGAGTCCAACTCCTGCCCTGCACAGGATATCCCTGAGAATCCCACCCTGTGCCTGAGAGCATTGGCCAAACACTCCCTGAGCTCTGTCAGGCTTGGGGCTGTGACCACTGCCCTGGGGAGCTGTTCAGTGCCCAGACACCCTGCGGGGGGTGAACCTTTTACTAATACCTAACCTTAACCTCCCTTGACACAACTTCAGGCCATTCCCTTGTGTTCTGTCACTGTCCCAGAGGGCAGAGTTGCCCCTGCACTGCCCCTCAGGAGGAAGTTGTATACAGTCATGAGGTCTCCCCTCAGTCTCCTCTTCTCCAGGCTGAACAGACCAAGTGACCTCAGCCACTCCCTCATATGGCCCTTCTAGGTCCTTCATCACCTTCATTGCCCTTGGGACATGGGACTATTGGACAAGGCAGGTCCCTCCCTGCCCCCAGCCATCTCCAGTTTTAGACAGAGACACTGATCTTGTCTGAGTTCTGAGGAATAAATCTAGCCCAGCACTTATAAAAGTAAAAAAAGAAAGCAGGGGAGAATTCCTTTCCCACCTCCCAGCCCTGGCTCTGGGCAGAGTGTGGCCAAGGCTGAGCAGCTGAGAGATGGGACCCCCCTCTGCTGCCAGGGCAGTCAGCTTTGCCTTCCTCAGGCTGTGAGCAAGGGGAAATGGGTGTGATCACCTCTGGAGTCTCCTCTTATTGACACAAACAATTCTGGTATGGGACCAAAGCAGCTTGGTGCCTGCTCCCCTAGAGGGAAATCCTGTCCCCCCAGGGCCTGCTCCAACAGCCTCAGGTGGCAGGAAGGGATTCTGGAGCACCACATCATCCTGAGTTACCACCATGGAGCAGTAGTTCCTCTCTGAGAAACTGCCAGGACAAAACAAGCAAGGAAGTAAAAACCACCAACAAGTCTTTACCTTTAGCTCTTCCTTAAAAGCAAAATATTTCCCAGAGGTATTGAGCTCATAGTTGAGCTGACACTTCTGCTCCTCCAGGGTTTGGTGGTCTCTCTCTCCCTGCTCAGGCTTCCCAAAAAGCTCATGGTATTCAGTCAGGATGGCAGCAGCAACGTTCTTGACATGTGTGTGATAACCTTCCACTGCCTAGGAAATAAATAAATACACTTCACAAGTCACTTACGCAATCAGCCTGGAGATGTATTTGATTTGGCACAGCCCACACCTCCCATAAACTCCACCTGACTCCAGTCTCCATTTGTCTGTCACACATCCTGTCCATGCCTGAGGGCTGACAAAATATCTACAGGTAAACACAAAAGAGCTCCTTCCTGCTAGGCTTCTCAGCCAGAGCTCAGGATTGCAGTCATTGCTGTCTCCATTAGAGCAGCATAATTGGCTATGAGTGAAACAGATCTCGTTTGTTGGGAGCCCTTTAAACCCACAGGCCAATCCTCTTCAGCACAGCCTGTGATCTCCAGTCCCAGGCCCCAGGAATTCTGGGTGACCCGAGGGTGGCCAGGGCTGATTCTGTTCATGTGTGTCTGGGTGTGATGAAGCACCTGGTCTAGTCTGAGGTAAGAAACTGTTGGGACTGCCCAGGGTGAACATAAGGTTGTGGTATCCCCTTCCCACAGCATCCCATTTCCTTCCCAACACCCTCAGGCAGGATGGGGTGGCAGAGTGGGGACAAAGCCACAGGCTGTTGCACATACCTCCTTGGCTCCTTCAGTCCAGAGAGGCAGTGGAGGGCGAGAAGGAATCATCTCCTTGACCCTGTGGATGAAAGCACAGAAGGGATCAGCCAGACACTGCCAGCAACCTTGGCTTGTCAGGTAATGCAAGGGCTCCAGCTCATCCCTGTGCCCTTGAGCTGCCTCACAGGAACCTGGGAGGGGGAAGTGAAGCCTCAGACCAAGAATGAGCTGCAAAGGTCAGGCCATACAAGTGATGCTTGCAGCTCCTCGTAACAGGATGTCCCTACCCAGGGCAGGTCCATACCAACCTTCTGAAAAGGTATAAAGACAGAAGTGAAGTGACATCAGCACTCCCCAGGGCAGTCCATGCTGGAGGCCAGCCCTGACCAAGCCACTGAACACCCCAGGCAAGAGGCCAGCACACAGGATTAGTGGGAAATAAAGCCTGGCCAGGAATGTAGACATTGTTGTGCTGCTCTGGTGCCTCTTGTTTGAGAGGAGTGCCAGGGAGATGCCAGCTGGGATGAACACGAGTGTTTTCCCAACACACCAGATGCCACCTCTGAAGCAGTCTGGCCAAATCCTCCCCCTGATTCCCGTGGGCTTTGTCTCAGGCCTTCAGCTGGTCTTTCTGGAGTATTCCAAGGGGGAGCTCACCACAGTGCTCTCCCTCCCAGTCAGCCCCAGAGCCGCAGCCCACCCCTACGCACTGCCGGGTGAGCTCCTCTCGCCGTCGCTTTGGGACCAAGGCCTTCTCCAGCTTTATCTCCAGCACCACGAATGTTTCTGCTTCATTGTAGAGCTGTGAAGACAAACATTGCTCTGTGTCCTGCTGTCTGGATCCATTACTGGCATGATGAAATACACAGCTACACATCTCCAGCACATCCTCTCCAAACTGCAGAGACACAGCTTGTCTAACCCACTCTCAGAAGGAGCTACAGCAGCAAAACTCAGCTCAAGCAACCAGGCTAGGGAAAAGAGGAGATACAGGACAAATGTGCATTCTGGAGGAAGAAGCCAAGATATGAATGAACCCTTTAAAATAAACCCCTGAGGATTTACAGAGACCTCCTAGCCCAACACTACTCTGGAACAGCATCTATGTAAAACATCCCTTGTCCAACTCACTTTTGAGGAATTTCATAGTGTGAAAGGTGTGAGACAGAGACACTAGCATGGTGATACTCTCTGGAGACACATACCTGTCCATCAAGGTTGAGATTAGTGACATTGTCAGTGCTATCTGACAAGTGGGCTCTGGATGCACTGGATAACTGTTAAGAAAAAGATGTGTCTTGTTTCAGAGTCAATAAATCTCATTTTTGCACGTTCAGGGTGTGAGGTGTACACTGTTCAGGCAGCATGGGATAAGATTTCAGGGTAAGGGAGACCTCACTGGGGGCTGCAGCTTCCCCATGAGGGGCAGCACTGATCTCTGCTCTCTGTGACAGTAACAGGACTCGAGGGAGCAGCTGGAGCTGTGTCAGGAGATGGTTAGGCTGGACATCAGGGAAAGGTTCTTCCCCTAGAGGTGTTTGGGCACTGGAACAGCTCCCCAGGGCAGTGTCACAGTCCCAAGCCTGACAGAGCTCAAGAAGGGACACATGGTGGGATTGTTGGGGTGTCCTGTGCAGGATTGGTGATTCTTATGGGTCCCTTCTATGACAATGAGTATGTCTCAGTTGGCTGAGGCCACACAGCATCCACCCCTGGCTCCTGCATGTCCCAGCTACCTCTGACATGGGAACAGAGCCACCATGCTGCAATGTGCCTCCCCGGACCTTACCTTTCTGTTGGAATCCTTATCTTTGTCTTCCCTCTGAGTCTTACTGGGAACAGCTCTGGAAAGGGAAGGTCTCACTCTTGGGGTGAAGGACTCTTCCTTGGTCAGATTGAGCTGCAACATGAGATCCCGGAAAACACTGTGCTGACTTTTGGTCTGAAAAATAGAGGGAACAGAAGGAGTCAAGGGACAAAGTGGGTTTCCTCACCCCTTCGCCTTAACCTCTGACACCATAAACATTGTCAGGGTCTTAAATGCATTGAGAAGCTTCATAACCTCATTCTACCCTCCCAGGAGTTCAGCTGCTGGTGCTCCAGGCCAGCTCTGACCCCTTGCAGCTGTGAAGTCTCAGGTTAGACTGTGAGACTCAGTAGGGTCTCTCTGTCTTCTCCCAAGACCTGTGTTTCCACTGAGGACTGGGTCTTGATCCTTGTCTGAGCAATGTGGTAGACATGCTGGAATCCAGCTCCACAATCCTGATCCACTGGCCTCAACTCCTGGCTGGATCCTAGACCTGCCTCATGGCTGTGGACTTACCTGGTGATGAAGACTATTAGATGAATCTGGCTACCCTCACCAGGTCTGCCCTGCAATGTTTTGGCTGCCCCACCTGCCTGGCAGTGACTTTGGACTTTCAGCTCAGCCTCTAGTGTGGAGCAGCTTCCCTGACACACTCCAGGGAATTGCAAGGAACAGGTTTGTCAGATCGTGTGTTTACACAGTGTTTGACCACCTAGACAGGCTGTCCCTCCCACACACACACCATGGTTGTAGGAGCTGGGCTAGCAACAATTCTGGGGATACTGGGGAGAGGAAGGAGCAGCTGTATGGAGACTTCCTAGACCAAGAGGCAGCCCAAAGCATCCACACCACCAGGGAATGAGAGGGACTTGACTTGTGACAGGTAAATGCCACCGGACAAGCAGCACCAGGCACACAGTTACTCAGGCCTGCAGGCAGAGACCAGCAGACAGTGTGCCCATCCCTGCCCTGCCCAGCCAGCGGGAACAGGGAGGCAGGAGAAGGGCTGGAATCCACCGGGCGCCTGCACCCGGACTGCAGCGGCACGGGAATGTGGGTGGTAACACCAGACTGTGCCTCTGCCCTCCTGAAACAAGCTCAGGTCTGTTCCAGGTGGGACAGACTGTGGGAAAATGGAGAAGTAACTGTCACTCTGAGTAACAGAGGGGGAGAAAAGCAAAGACAAATAAACCTCCGTGAGCTAGATCTGAAAGAGCTCCGGTGACAGCTTTTTTCCTGGTTGCCTGGGGTAACGCGATCCTTTTAAAGCCACTGTTTGCTCTTCCCAGGAACACAGTTCCAGACTGGAGAGAGAGAGGAGCATTCTTACAGCTCTCCCTGCTCAGCTACCGGCAGAGGAGGGAGTGGAGTGAGATTCAAAGCCTCTCTCAGCCCCTAAACCTGCACACACAAGCCCAGAAATCCCCTGCCTTGGAGAAATCTGCATCGAAAAACTTGTATCTTTATTTTTCTCCATCTTCAGAAGGGCAGTATAGGTTTATATCCACCCTGCCTGCTCCCAACCCCTGTGTGCAAACCCAGCTGCAGAGCTGGAGCAGAGCCTGGCTGCCTGGTCTCACCTTCTTGAACACCTCGCTGTCCTGGTAGCCAAAGACACGGAAAGCCCCTCGGATCTGCTTCACACCAGGGCACAGCAAAGGCATCATGTTGACATATGCCACACCATGGACGGAAATATGCTTGTTGGGATCTCCCTGGAATCACAGAGCAAGGGAGTGAGTGAGATACCGAACAGGCTGTTACTCTCCTCAAGGAAGCAAGGTCAGCCATGCCATTAAGAGGAGGTCACACAGCAAACTGCTGCACCTGATGAGCCAGTGGCTCTCTGGCACTGGCACACAGCTGAGACAACCTGGATGAACACACTGGAGTCATTTCATACATAGAATATTAATTCCATCCCTGTGGGGCAGCTCTTCTCTCTAATTCCCACACTCTGTCAGTCCTCAGGATGGTCCTTCTGAGATACAATTGAAAATTATCACCCATGTGGTCAGAAATCCAAGTGACCCTATCTGGTGTGCATCTCAGCTTGAACAGAACCCAGGTGGCTAAGGAGGTGTGAGAGGCCAAGCTAGCAGGGTCATCATCATCAGAGCTGCAAAATCCTGGCTCTGGGGAGTGCTGGAAGGATTTACACCAATTTGTATTACTTTGCCCCGGATAAGGATAAGGAGCTCTCACACCAGAAACAGAACCATTAGCCAAGGGACTGTTTCTTTGTTCAACCACTCTGATTTAGGTGCAAAAGCATAACTCATGTATAGCCTGAGAAAGAAGACATGAACTTTGTCAAGATGTTCCAAAATCCCACTGGCCAAAGACAGGCTCAGTGAATGACCTTAATTCTCATCAAGACCAGGTTGGATGGGGCTTGGAGCACCCTGGGCTGCTGAGAGGTGTCCCTGCCCAGGGCAGGGGGTGGAATGAGGTGATCTCTAAGGTCCCTTCCAAACCAAGCTATTCTGGGATTCTACAAAGCAGCCTCTCCCTGACCCCTTTCCACCAGGTGACCACAGACCATCAGCAAGATGCTATAAGGAAAAAATATCATCTTTTGTCTGTTTGACAGCTCAAACAGGCTGGAACTGTCCCTTCCAACCCAAGCCATTCTCTGATTTTTCACAAAGCCTCTGACTCACTTGGGCTGGAATGAGGCTGTTTTTTATCACAAAGGCATCAAAAGGAAAATGCATGATAACACAATGCTACCCCACAGCCAGACCAACACACCCCTCCCCATTTACCTTGTCACCTTTGCTAGCTTTCCCTTTGCTGGACGAGTGCACAGCCATCCCGCAGAGCTCCAGGGGCCAGTATTGGCACTCTCCGATGCGCTGCTGCAGACTGCACACAAACAGGGCACTGAGGGCATGCACAGACCCAGCCGGGGAGCCTCACTGCCCTCCCCTCTGGCCCAGCAGCCTCTCTGAGGTTTGCCTCAACCCAGTCCGACAGCAAACACCCCCAGGCCACAGCAACACGGGTGGCAACCAGGGACAGGGCCCAAGGAACAGCTGGAGCTGTGTCAGGGGAGGGTTAGGCTGGACATCGGGAAAAGATTCCTCTCCCAGAGGTGTTTGGGCACTGAACAGCTCCCCAGGGCAGTGGGCACAGCCCCAAGTCTGGCAGAGCTCAGGGAGTGTTTGGCCAATGCTCTCAGGCACAGGGTGGATTGTTGGGGTGTCTGTGCAGGGCAGGAGTTGGACTGTGATCCTTGTGGGTCCTTTCCAGCTCTGAATATTCTGTGGTTCTGCTTTGGGCAGGCTGGGTACATTTTCTCCTCCACCCACTGCTGTGTGCATTTATGGCACAGCCAACCATAAAATAACTGTGAGAGTGACACACTAGGTTTTCTCTCTCCCCTGGTTACTTCAGAAACAAAACAAGAAAGAAGCAACGTGATTAACTCTGGTATAATTCCTGAACTGAACAGAGCAAGGAAACCCTGAGCTCCCGTTCAGTGTGGCTGGTGACTCTGGAAGCAGCAGGCAGGCTGATGGAAGTGTAGGGGAAAGGATTAAAAAATGAGATAGAAAGGAGTATTTCCACACACAGAAGGAGTAATTTGGCTGTGAAACTCCCAGCCACAATGAGAGCTGAGGCCAAGAAAATAGCAGGATTCAAAGAGAAATGAAACACTTATCCTGATCTTGAGCATATCTGGAGCTGCTAAAGGTAACACTTACCCAATACAAAATCCAAGAAAATAGCAGGATTCAAAGAGAAATGAAACACTTATCCTGATCTTGAGCATATCTGGAGCTGCTAAAGGTAACACCCAATATAAAATGAAGAGCACTCACGTGGAGTGAAAGGTGTATATGTATTGGAAATTCAGTAAAGCTTAGTTAGCAGCTCAGGGGGAGCTGTGTGGGCCACCCTGCTCCATGGCTGCCCACCATAACTGCTGTCCCTTCCTTCAAACGTTGGGGAACAGCCCCAGCCCCAGCCCCAGCTGCTGGCAGCAGGAGTGAGCAGCAGCTCCAGCCCATTCCTCTTCCCCCAGCACAGCAGAACGAAGCTGTGGCAGCACTTCAAGGCGTTTGGCTGCTCCCTGGCTCAGGTGAGCAGCTGTGGCCAACAGCCAGCCAAGGGATCCAGGGGAGGTGTGGCAGAGACACCGTTCGACCCCTGAGAGGTCTGAGAGCACCTGCATGTTTCTGCTCCCTGCCTCGGGTCACTCTGGGTGTGTTCTGAGGTGGTTTCCTCCCACCACACCTTCAGGTCCCTTACCTGGCCACTGCAGCAGCATCCAGGTAACAACGCTGTTCCACGTCCCACACGATTCTCTTCGCACCTTCTGCTTGGAGCCTGAACTCCCTGTCCTGTGAGAACAGCCTGTGGTCAGCTCCACAGCCTGAGTCTTCCCCAGAAACCTGGGACAGACTGGCTCAGAGGTGTGCAGCTCCCCACACCCAGGCTAGCCTGGCAGAGAAGCTCACAGCCCTTCCTGCAGACCACCAGCAGTAAGAGCCTGGCTCACAGGAGACAGCACAGCTCCCAGCCCAGCAGCTCAGTGCGGGTGGCTTTTTTGGGACCAGACCTGCCACATGCCCCCTCAGGATCTCCCCTGGGGTGAGTCAGCACACCTGCTGTCCCAAGGAACCATCTCCCTGCCTGCACACTGTGCAGAGCAACAGTCACCCACCTCCCTCCCACCACAAGTCCTTCTTCAGCTGTAACCCTGCCAGTCCTTCCTCACCTCACTTGTGGTGAGCTCTCCGTCCTCATCCTCATAGGGCCCCCCAACAATGGTAGAGTTGGGTATGCTCAGAGCACCAGAGGCCAGGATGTTACCAAGGGGCCACTTTTTGGGCCGGGGCAAAGGTTCTTTTTCACCATCAGCCTTCAGGACGCCATTCTTGAAGAGCAAGGGGAATTCCTTCTACAGAGACATGAGAAACAAAGGATTTGCATTCCCAACAGGAGCAAGAGCCAGCTGCTCTGAGCTGGGATAACAAAGCAAAGCAGCAGTACAGGGGCCTGGCTTGGAAAACACACTCCACCACATGCATACAAAGAATGGAATAAAAATAAAAAGCCATGTGGAAAAAAATCCTGCCAGTTTGAGTCCAAATCTTTCCAAGAAGGGCTTTGTTTGTGTTAAAGGAACATGTCACACCATGGAGCCCCTGAGCCCTCACAACAAAGGCTGTTGGTGCACGACCACAGGAGCTGTACAGCCCACGTGCCTGGACACTTGTTCCACAGCGTGTCGTGTGGGAGAGCAACCCCAAAGCAGCCCAAAGTCCTGCACCACTCTCACCTTCCCAGCTGCTGGTACTTGCAGGCAAGCCATGTAGTTCTGCAGGGGTTCACTGGCAGCAAATGCTTCAGGGATAGAGTAAGCTGCCTCCAGCGTGACGCTGAGGAGGTTCCCAGTTGAGAGCTGTGTGGCAGAGAGCAGGGGCTCTGTGGTGCTCACTGTCACTTCAAGGCTACCCTGTGAGACAAGGATAAAGTGCAGCCAGGAACTAGACAATTATAACTCTTGAGGGAGAAGCAAGCAGAAACCCAAGGCCAGAATGTATAATGTATCTTCTGCCTCGTCTCAGATGTAAAAGAGGACAGCCCAGCACAGGAAAGGAATTTCAGGATCCATTTGGCTTAATTGTACTGTTTGTTTGTTTAAATCTCAGCCTGCTTGAGGTATAGCATATGGCCCAAGGGCCTCCCAAAACGAGGCAGAAAGAGGCAGGGTCTCATAAAAGGAGCCACAGAGAAGGAACATCAAGGCTGGAAAATGATACTTTTCCCTGGTGATTCAGAGGACCACACTTTGCCCTATCTCCATGCTCTGTGAGCAGCCTTTAATTACCTGTTCCAGCCCTGATGGATGGTGTGTGATGGAAAACCAGCTGGTCAGCTTTTATTCCCTGTCCTCTCTAATGAGTGCTCCCTTACCTTGCTCACTGTGGAACACCTCTTAAACACAGAGATGCTAATGGGATATCCACCCCTCCAATTCCCTCCCGGTGCTCACTGCAGGCAGGCTCAGGAGCAAAATTGGACACATTTGCTCAGTCTCATACTTCATTCCCTGCTTTAGTCACTGGGTACTTTGCAACCAGATGAATGAGTAAGGACCTTGCAGGAGAGGCAGCCAGAGCTCCTGCAATAATGGAGCCTGAGATATGTTATCTGCAGAAGGGAAGACTGATAAAGCTGGGCAGCAAATCCTGCCATTGTCTTCTTCTGGGGCTTTCAGCACTCTGCTTTCCATCTTGATTATTTTTTCCAGTGCAATTTGGTAGCTGCACACATTAACAATTCCCAGCATGACTTCACCTATCGCAGGCAACTAGGGACAGACGTCAATGGGAGCAGGAAAGGCCTCCAAGCCTGTACATCTAGGGCTGTACCACATCCGAGATGAGCCAGGCAGCTGAGTCATGCTCTCCCTTCCATTAAAAGCAGCAGAGAGCTGAATGAGGGAAGGAACAGTTCCAAATTCCACATACCTTGGCCTCGGGGTGAAGGCTCTCTGCTGGGGATGCAGGCACTGCATACAAAGGAGCTGAGACCTCAAATGAACACTCTCCTGGGAAGAGACAGGAATGAGAGCAGCCTAAAGTGAGACCTTCTGTAGGGAATCCCAGAGTGGTTTGGGTTGGGGAAAGGACCTTAAAGCCCATCTCATTCCAACCCCCTGCTGTGGGCAGGGACACCTCCCACTAGAAAAAATAATGGTTTAACTCTTAACACTGAGCTACTGATGTCACCCCCTCCTCCTCACAAGATTTAGCAGATGCTGTGAAGGTCACTTTGTCAGAAGGAGGTAAGTTGTGGTCGGGGGTCAATAAGCAAAGATCAAAAAGTGCCAGGGAGCAAGGAGTGGTTATGGGGCCTGTGGGAGTCAATGTTGTACCTTGCAGCAGAGGCAGAAGGTCCACCACAGCTTGGCCAAGAGGTACAGTTTTCTCCTTCTGTTTCTTCCCCATTTGCAGCACCTCTATCACTGTCACTAGGGAGATAAAAAAAGAGGAGCTGGCAGGGTTTCTCAGACCAGCAGTTCAGGGGCTGTGGCAGCTCTGGAACATACTCCTCTTCATCTCCCAAGGCCCACAAGCACAGCAAAGCCAAAGGAGCACAGGCCAATAGGAAAGGGGATTCTTCCAGCTGGCTGAGAAGTGCTGAGACCATCCCAGTGCTGCTGCTGAAGTGCTATTCCTGAGCAAGTGACTCCTGAGTTGACAGCACCCACTGCCAAGGGGGGAGACCCAGCACCAGGTACTTACAGAGCAGTGGTTTCTCTGCAATGACATCCAAGGAGTTGGGCCCGTTGGGGCTGCACTCAAAGCTGGCTGTGAAATTGTAGTTTGCTGTCCCATTTGGCAGGACATCAGCAGTGGGAGAGTCTCCCAGGAGGACTCTGTTGTACTCCACACGCACCAACGTCACCAGCACGTCACTCTTGATGGCTTTCTGTCCAAAACAGAGCACATTAAACAGCTGAGGCTGCAGCAGCAGCCTGGGATCAGCTCAGTGCCCAGGACAGGGCTCACTGGTGAGGGCTTGTCCCACCACAGGAATGGGGCAAAGGAGCAGACCTTAACCTCCTCCCTTGTCTTTAGCAGAGAAATTTCCTGCTCTTCCATGCTGTGATGCCCCAAGGATTATCAGGAGCTGTGGCTCCATCTCAAGATGGAGAGTTCCAGGCTTCACCCCCAAAAGCAAATCCCCAAATACCCCATGGATATTTTTGTGCTTCAGAAAGCTTGAGACTTTTGTGGACAGGGGGGACAAGGAGGGATGGTGAGGGCACGTGGCACGGGGGACCCACATGCCCAGGCAGCAAGAAGTGCTGGGGTAGCAAGTACTGAAGAGCCTCCCTGCAGGAGCGGCACAGCCGAGCTCTCAATCCGTGGAAAAGTGCCTGAACACAAGGGCCATTGTACCCAAACTCAGCTTTTCCTTAGTGCTGAGCCTCAGGGGTGCCTAACCTCCGTGGCCTCTCCCTCAGCTCCCTCTCTCCCTGTCACTGGACTAATTAATTCCGTGCTGGCTCTTGCACAAAAACAGATGTCTCACTTGGTTTTAATTTCCAGCCCTTCTCACTGTCTCCTTGAGCATACATTCTATGAATGGCTAAACAGAAGAATCCAATTAACCCTTCTCTGTACCATTAATTAACCAAGTCTCCTCTCTCATCCTTCTCTACATTACCTCTAATTAAGCAGATTCCACACTCAGAGCTGGAAGTGGATTCCACATTCTCTTAGCTGGATTTTGTTTCATATTGTTGCTGTGATTATTGCTCTTTGTAACCCCTCCTTTTGCCACAGCCCTTTCTCATGATGGAGCAATCAGAACCACAAAGCAACATTCCAGGTGCAATCAATCCATGGCCTTATTCTTTCCAGCATTGTTTTTCCTCCTCTCACCTTACACTTCTCACCTAAGATTCTGTTTGCTGAATCTATCAGCGTGAGAGGTGCTCAAATACTACAATGAGAAAGCCTCAGGCAGGTGTTTTGGGTTGCTCCTTCTGCCTGCTGCTGGAGCAGAAAAGCGATTTGCATTTTTCTGCTTGCAGCAGGAGCTGAGCTGCTTCTCCTCCACATTCCCTCCCAAATGCCAGTTCCTCTACAAGACTTTAAGGACAGCTTGGTGCATCACATGGAAATCACAGCAGTGATGGTTTGATTGGCACCAGCTCATAGCCTTGCACTGCAGCAACTGCCTTTCCAAACCCAGAGCCACCTTATTGCTCTCAATATGCTTCAAACAGCTGTAGCTGGGCTGAAAATCTGACTTTATACCTTTTTGGAGGTATTTCTTTCCCTGATGCACATTTTCACTCTGTTTTGCTTTAAAAAAAAAGCTGCCATTTGCATACAGTTAGAGGAGGCAGAGAGATACATTTCACCCCAGCGTCTCTGGACTGCTGCTGAGGAGGTGTGTTCCCCAATTTATGTGACTCACAAGC